TGTGGAGGGAAAGAGGGGAGATGATGATGCGTGTACGGAGGATAGGATAGGATCGAACGATGAGTATGAACTAAATTTCGCAGCGAAGGTGGCGACATGGGAGAGAGATTTCCCCCTTGATGGGTCGATCCGTGGTCGCGTAGATGTTCAGTCGCGCCCTCGCGCTCGCCGGCAACATCAATTGTCGTAGAATCACGTCGCGCGACTAGTCTCGGCCAGTGGACAATCAATCATCGTTTTCCAATTTCTATTTCGACTCGTGCGTCGTTTCGTGCCAGATGCGAATCATGAATTGCTCGGTGTTGATGCGCAGCTTGTTGTTGATCGTCTGCTGGATTTGGTTGCCAATTGCTCGCTGCGGGGTACGTTCGAGACATCCGAGAGGTAGTAGTCGAGTTTCTCATTGTCCTCTTTCGCTCGTCCGATCGAAAGAAACGGTTGTTCAGTCTCGCTTGCTTCGAATTTCGAAAGAAACGGGAAGAGCGATGCGCGCGCGATCGCGACTGCGACCGCGCGTCCATCGCCCCGTCGCCGAGGCTGCGAGAGAAGAGAAAGAGGGGAAGAGAAAACGACAAGGCAGGGACAATGATTAGCAATAGATTAGCAATAGATAAGCTATTTCGATCCGACTGGAAAAAGAGAAATATCTTCCACAGACGCGACCAAGTTTCGTCTCGGACGAAATGATCGCAACAGCGGCCAGCGTGGTGAATGCTTGCCAGACGCAAACAGGAGTAGCGACAGGTAGGATCCAAAACAAGTCGAGATCCAAAACAAAAAAAAAAAAAAAGTAGTTTGATCATTCGAGGAAACGTATCGCTGTTGTTTGTTCCAGTGGACATAGAGGCGGTGAGGAATGATCAGTGGCCCGAGACGCGTCAACTGAAGGTAACACGATGTAACATTGGCTGAAATTGACAAATTAACAAGTCGCGTCTATCGCCACGAAAGAAAGAAAATGGTCTGTTTCTGCAGTGTTACATGTACTGTCTGTGGGAACAATTCGGTCTGGTCGATGACAAGAGGGAGCTCAGCTTGAACGGCATGCTCACGTTTTTCCAAAGAATACCAGCCTACAGAGCGGAGGTCCAGAAAGCGATCAACCAGTGCAAGGGGATCGGTAAATATTTGGGTATCTATGTTCGATTTTATATTCTCCTTTCTGCTGATCGAGCGTTTGCCAAATATCTTCGCGTCCGTTTCATTTTCTTCCGAAGACCAACGGAAATCCAAGCGACAGAGCAGCAACCTCGCAGCTGCTCGTTGTCCTCACACCTGTCCGTTTTCAATTCGACAGCACACCATTCGAACGCGTATCCAGCCGTATATTTCAGTCGTTTATAATCGATCGTTTTTCTAGCCAAAGGTGACAATTGCGAGTACGCGTACAGGTTCAATAAATGTTACGCGGAATTATCACCGCGGGTGAGTAATCCTCATTTAATATCGAACGACCATACTTATACTTGGGATAGTTTGATCACCACACACACGAGAAAAGACATAGAGAATTTCTTTCCTTTTGAAATTTTATTATCCCTGCAATTATAAAGAAACTTGACAAGTCGAGTTAAGCGTTTAAAGGGTTAAAACATCAACTATCCCGGGGACTTGCACTTGTCATTCCGACGTTGCTGTGACCACCTTCACCTGTGTGTTTCAGACGTACTATCTGTTTTAACCGAGTTTCATTTCAATATGAAGATGAGACGAACCTGACGTTGGACCGTGTCTCGCTTTTTATCACGTAACGGAATCGTACCCGTTCAAACATAGA